TTGGCAGATTAAATTACCTGTTCCCATCTCATTCATTGCCCTCCAGGCAGCTTGGGCCGTTGACAGGGCAACAGCTGCAGAATTCACTATCCCCCAAACATCCTCAGGAAGCCAGTCATCACCCTCTCAGTGGGAGAAGGGGCAACATCTGCCATCATTTTACCCATGTGCAAGCCAGTTCATCATCCTGAGGTGTGGAGTTACCCCTCAAGGCCTGTTACATCCCCCATCAGCTATGGTTGCTGCTTGATGAATTGTTCCCACAGATGTTGCCATTGCAAAAGGTGAACACAGTGTCAGCCTGTGACTGCAGGAACTCCATCTCTGCAGCCAAAAACACTAACTAGCCTGGCATGCAGGAGGCAAGATGAAGCATTTCTGCTGCTGCTGCCACAGGACAGGCAACGTAATGTTTCCAGCAGTAACATCTTCTCTAGCTAGCCCAGCTTCATGTTGGAACATCAGAGAGTAATTAATGCCAACCACAATCCCCTTGCCCATCTCTGAGCTTCTGTTCCTCTCACAGGTAGTAGTCTTCCCTTCCTGTCCTTTTTCTGGTAGAGACATGTGGCTGGGACGGAGCCATGCATTGATGTCTAGGGCATGCTTGTGGCCTGACAGGAGACCCTCAAAGCAGACGACTCATGGGGTTGTGGATATTTGATACGCCACTTGCGGCCTGGTGCTGCTGGCTCTGATGGCTTCAGCAACCCAGAAGACCAAAAAATGCCAAGGTAAGACAGGGTGAAAAGCAATGAGTGAGTGGCACAAGTCACGCATGTCTCTGTATGTCTCCCAGTCTCAAGAGTACAAGGAAGGCTTGAAAGAGTAAACTCAGAGACATTTCATCACAAACAATGCAAAGATTTATTTCCATTTCAAGTGAAATAGAAGAGGAAATACAAAAAACTAAAAAATCTCCAATACAGAATATAAAGTTCTCCTAGGCTGTACAGTCCACTTCTTTCTCAAAATCTGCTCAGGGCCTGGCTATACCAGAACCTAGACAGAAGAGGAACCAAGAGGCTCTGTCCTTTGAGGAATGAGCATTTTCAAGGCCTCTCTCTCTTCTATCAGTGCTCATATTTAAGACTTTCCTACAGGTTTATAATGCAGATTTATTGGGCTCTTCAGACAGAAAACAAAAAAGTAGTTTGAACCTTAGACTAACTTTGCTAAAAAGAAGGCTCTCAGATATTTACAATAAAACTTACAGAAATCAAATCTTTTACTTATTCTTGGTGGTGCCTGAGAATTACAAGCAATGTGCCAGACAAAAAACACATTGAGACCCACATGTTTAACATATCCCCATGGCACAAGCATACACTGAGATCCAGTTGTGTAAAGTATCCTCTTGGCATATCCCCATATCCTCACAGACAGACCCAACCCCATGGCTCCCCAAGGATGCGACAAGTGTATTTTCCTCTGTCAGTGCTCAGGCAGACCCATGTCACACATGGGCACAGGGGCAGCGCCACAAGGCACAGCCTGGACAGACCCGCAGTGCTCAGCACACCCTTGGCACCTGAGCCTACAGGACAGCTCAGAGAGGTTCCAACAGCCACAAAACCACAGCAATGCTGGTGGGAAGGGATTGCTGGAGTCTCCAGGCCTGCTGCAAGTGGGAGGTTGGAGCACTGCCAGCACTAGCAAAGGGCTGGTACAGCTGTCTAGTTTTGCCTAAAAAAGCTTGAAACACAGAACCCACACAGATATAGAGTCCCTTGAATGGTCCCAGTAGCTCTCCAGTTCTGACCAGGGTTTCTAGCTGTTTGTGACCAAAGTTTAAGCAGTCTTTGACCATGTCTCAGGTTCTTAATGCAGCAAGCTCATAACTGTACCTGCCGCAAAAAAATTACCATCTAGATATGCCCAGTTTCCCTAGTTTGTAAGTATAAAAGATCTGGAGAGAAACAAGAACAAACATCTAGACCTTCTCTGCAAACAATACACAACTGAACCTACCCAATCTGTGCATTCTAAGTCACCAAGATCTGTCAGGCCTGTCCTTCAGACACTGAGTTTTGCTCTCTGAACTGCCTACAGATGCCAACTGAGTTCAGAAAAATCTTCCTCAAAACCTGTATCATCACTGGTGACCTTTTTTTAGACTGAACTCTAAACTGGCATGAGCCTGAAGCAGACAACAAGATGAGAGAAACAAGGGCCAGAAGACATCTAAGCTCTTCACTCTTGTGACCAATGACAAGCTTCGCAGTGGCTGAGCACTGGAACAGGCTTTCCAGGGAGCAAGCACCAAGGCTGAGAGAGTTCAAGAAGCATTTGGATTATACTCTCAGGTACATGGTATGATTCTTGGGGTGTCCTGCACAGGTACAGAAGCTGGGCTTGATGATCCTGATGAGTCCCTTCCAACCCAGCACTGCTATGATTCTATGAAAATTATCTGGTCCACATTGATAACTGCTTCTACAGGAAGGAAAGAAAGGCATTAAAAGTCAGGACAGCTCTTCTCCCAGCTACCCTCAAATGAGCAAGAGGTTGGCATGGCTTTCTGTCAAAGTGACACAGTCCAGTCTTTGCAGGCAATGAAAGCAGAGCCAGCAGTTATCAAAAATACTAGGAGCTGGCACAGCTAAGTGTACAGATCCTCTTCCAGATGGTGAAGGGAGAGTTGTGAGAGGTGTTAGCACAGCTGCTGGAGACCTGCCCCTGGCTGAAATAGCTGTCTCCAGGATGGTAGCAGCTTCTGGATGTTCCAGGACCAGGAGGAATAAGGAAGATACAACGTACTGCTTCAGAAAGGATAGAAAGGGAAAAATCTGACTGACTCAGTATGCCAAAGAGTTGAGTGGTGTTTGTGCTTGCCCCACACTGGCTCTGTACATGAGGCAGCCTCCCCAGCTCTGTGTATGGACAGCAGCTTCCTGCAGTGCCACAGGCAGGTACACAGACAAAGGGCAGTGCTATCAGGTCACTCTCAGCCTCCCAGCCCAGACACTGCCTCACCACATGCCATCTCTGGTATTCTGAACCCTTGAATCCAAAACTCATCTCCTACCTCACAGCCCCACAGAAGGTACAACTTCTCCTGCCCACCTACTAGAGAGGGCTTTACTCTTCACACCAAGCTGTGCTGTGAGGACACCCAACAACCTTCCTGCTTCACTCCATTTCCCCCCTCATGTCCCACCTGGATATGTGGACCGCAGCACACACAGAAAGCAAGAAATCTGCCTCTACACAAATTTCATCCTGCTGAGGACCTCATCTGAAAAATGCAGAGCAGAAGATATAGATGTCTTCAAGGGATCAAAAACCCTTTGCAGCAAAGCACAGCAGTAGGACAAGAGACAGTAAACATGAAATAAGAATAGAGAAGTGTTAAATGGAGGGTACAAGGAGAAACTTCTACCCAACAGGGACATCCAGGTTGCCCAAAGAGACTGTGCTGTCTCCATCCTTGGAGGTGATGAACACTTAACTACATAGGGCTAAGCCTACTGGTCTGAGTCATAGCTGACCCTGATTTGGATACCTGACTGGAACAGAAATTTCCCAAGATATTTTCCAACCTGAGTTATACTACAATCTATACCCTTCTCTGGTGAGAGAGACTTGGTGTACATGCACCCCATCTGTTCTTCCAAAGCTCCTGTTGAGGTCCTGGCTGCACTTTCTCATTTCCTCTCCCCATACAAGGCCCCACCACGTTGCAGGATCTTCTCACCAGCCTCCTCCTGGCCCTGGACACACAGGTTCCCCACCTCTGTGGTTAAAAGGAGTTGTATAAGAAGACCTGGGAGCAGGGCTGTGTTGACTCCCTCTACACCCACAGCCCCAAGCAGAGCCCTAGGTACCCACTACTGTTCCAAACTCCTTTCCAGGGTGGTGGGATCTGTTGGGAGGGGTATGCTTGAGTTTCCCCACAAATGTAGTTTCAAGCTTTTATCTCACACACATTCCTATTAGTTGTTCCCTCTCCATATCTTCTCTAGACTTTTTTCCATCCCCAGAAAGTTTGAAAGTGGAACAACTGAAGATGAAAAGGCAACATATCCTGCCTCTTGTGTTCCAGAAACAAAAAATTTCTCCTATATATGCCAATTTCTCTAGGCTACATACAGAGCTGGGCTGATCTGGGGATCAAAGTAATTTAGGCTGTAAGTACCTCCGCAGACCTCAGGATTAGGTCTCCACTCCAAACAAGTCCAGATTCAATGTTGGCTATGACTTCAGAGGCAGATCAGGCTCTGTCCAATCAAGTTGGAAAGACCTCCAATGGCAGAGGTCCCACAGCCTCCCTGTGTCCCCCATCCAGGGGCTGGGCATGCTCATGAGTAGAAATTTTTGTAGTTCCAAACCCACCACTGTTCCCACCCCTGCAGCACAGAGCACAACACCTCGAAGGATATAACTTGATGCTTTTTTCTGTAGACATGGCATCCAAACCTTCTCCAGTCTTGGCCACACTGCTGATGGAAATCCTGGGGCTAAAGCAATAGCCATCAGGGACATGCCACCACATCAGTGCCACCATTCTGCTTTTACAGCTTTGCCTGGATGAGGCCAGGGAATGCTTCCTCTTGCCTCCCTCCTTCACCTCATCAACAGACATTTAATTCTCTTAAAAAAAAATCATCAGCAGCAGAGAGACTTTTAAATGTGAAATCTTCCTGGGTAGACCAGAGGAGCCCGGTTGGTTGTGTGGGAGCGTGGGAGCCTAGCAGGAAGCTTTGTGCACTTGCTCCAGTAAAGTCTGTAGAAGAGACTGTTTGCCCCATCCAAGCACTTGGGAGTCCCTAGGACTTTTCTGCCGAGAATAGACAGGGCTGGACAGGACACCCCAGGTCCCCAGGGCTGAGTGCGACACTCCTCCCCAGGAAGCCTAGGCAGAAGGCAGAATGCATAGGTGCAGACCAAGGTTCTTCAGCATCTTCCCGGTCAGCGCCGGGAGCAGCCGTGCCGGGCAACCCCCTCACTCCGTCATCTCCCGGGCTCCAGTCCGCTCTGTCGGGCCCCTCCGGGATAGGTTAGAGCGCCGGGACGAACCTGTCGGGGCCTCCAGAGTAGGTGCCGTGTCGCGGTGCGGGCTCGGCGGCACTCAGCTGCCCTCCGGCGCCGTAGACGTGGGGCAGCGGCGGGAAGGGCGCGGGGGAGCGGCGGCCGTAGAGCGCAGCGGGGCCGGGCGAAGGGGCGGGCAGCACGATGCGCCCCGACGGCGCGTACAGCGGCCCGTGGCCCCCGGGCGCGTAGGGCCCAGCAGCGGTGGGCAGCGAGGCGTAGGCGTGGGGCAGAGCGGCGTGGGCGCAGCCCTGCGCGGGGAAGGCGGCGGCGAAGGCGCAGGAGGCGGCGGCGGGGGCCGGGGGCAGGTCGGCGGAGGGCGGCGGGGCGGGCAGCGGGAGGGGGCGACAGGGGGCGGCGGGGCGCTCGGCGAGGAAGGCCGGGTAGGTGGATAGGTCGCTGCGCTTGAAACGTTTTCTGCGGCGGAGGAAGGACCCGCTCTCGAACATGTCGCGGGCGTGAGGGTCCAGCGTCCAGTAGTTGCCCTTGCCGGGGCGGCCGGGCTCCCGTGGCACCTTGACAAAGCAGTCATTGAGAGTGAGGTTGTGGCGGATGCTGTTCTGCCACTTGCGGGGGCTGTCGCGGTAGAAAGGGAAGCGCTCGGTAATGAAGCGGTAGATGCCGCCGAGCGTCAGTCGCCGCTCGGGCGCCTGCCCGATGGCCATGGCGATGAGGGCGATGTAGCTGTACGGCGGCTTGCCCCCCTCTGCCGGACGCTTGCGGCGGCGCCGCCCGCCCCGCGCCCCCGCCGCCGCCTCCTCTGCCGGGGGCACCGCGTCCGCCTCCAGCGGCGCGGGTGGCGGCGGGGGGCCCGGCGGCAGCCGGCTCTCGGCTGTCATGTGGCCGTCGGAGTGGCTCCGCCCCGGACCGAGCCGAGCCGAGCCGAGCCGAGGAAGCGTAGCGCGGCACGACCGCGGCTTTTATGCGGCGGTGTCCGGCGGCTCCGCGCCCGGGCGGCCGGCACTCCCCCTGCTACGCCCCGCCGCCCGGGAGGCGCGGGCAGGGCCGGGCGTGCCGTGCAGCCGCGGGTAGGAGCAGCGCCCTGCCCGGCACCCCCGCCCGCCCTCCTCCGCTGGTCCCCATCCCCAGCGCCGTCTGGGGCGCCGCGGAGCCACCGCCGTCGGGAGCGCACAGCTCCGGAGGACTGACGGGCACCGAGCGAAGCTGGGTCGTCTCCGGGATCCCGGTGCCGGCGTCGGGGCGCGGGCATTTAGCGCGCCTCCCCGTAGAGCTCGCCGCCGTCGAGGCCGGCTGTGCTGGCGGCGGCGGGAGAGGGGGAGCAGCGGGCGGCCGCCACTGTCGGAGGGGATGCTGCCGGTCTGCGCGGGACAGTCGGCGCCGGGCACCGTTGCCTGGGGAGCCCAACGCTTCTTTGCGGAAATCAAGCTGTCGAAACAAATTAGGCTGGAAAAAAAAAACCCAGCCGGTGACAGATCTGCGTGGGGAGAGATAGTAAGTGTGGGCTTAGGCTACGCGGTTTGCTTGCCGAGTGATATGTCGAATGCACTAACGTTAGGGCCCTCCCAGCTGGTATGCAGCAGCGATTTGGGACAGGGCTAGGCTCCCGTGCCCTTGGTTTACACTTAAGCTAACCTGCTTGTCCCTGATCCTTATGCCACAGGACCCCACAGCTCCACGATCCAAACACGAAGGATGCCAGGCTCTCTGCAGGCTAATGCTGGAACATACCTGACAGCTCCTTCCGTTTGCTCAGGTATTTGGGGCTGAGGGTCAGACCCCAGCTGAGTGTGCCAGCTGGTGAGAAATGCTTGCCCAGGACTTGAACCCCTGTGACACACACCCACAGGCTTGGAGAGAGCACAGCCTCCTCACCTGCTGGCATGATGCTCCTTGCAAGCCAAAATATAAAGGAGATGGCAGGATGTCTTAAATGTAAGATGGAAAGTGTGTGCAGGAGTGCACAGGCACATGTGTGTATGGAAGGGTGCACATGCACAGGTATGTGGGTGTGCAGGGGCACTGGTGCAGGGGTGAGGATGTGACGGAGAGATTGTGGATGTGCACTGACAAGCAAGTGTTTGTACAAAAAGATGCCAGCACACACAGGTACGTGGTTGGACCCGAGGCTTGCGTGTGGGCATGTAGGCAAGAAACAGATGTAGGCAGATGTGTGTGCAGAGAGGTGGATATGCACAGGTGTGCAGGTGCTGTGCATGGCTGTACATCTGATCCTGCCCATGTCTTGGTGTCTCCTGCCAGTTCTTCCAGAACTCAAGTCATGAGTGCACTGCTGAGTCTATCTTTGTAGGAGAAGCTTTTCCAAAGCCCTCTTGGGCATTACACAAATTATTTTTAAGGAAGAAACACAGCTCACTTGGAGGTGTCCAAGAGAGTTGTTGAGCTATTTATATGCTTAGAGAAAAATCTGGTGTGTGGTGTGTTGTGTGTGTGTTTCTGTTGTGTGTGTGTGTGTATGTATGTGAGAGAGAGAGAGGATCCACTTCTATGCAGCAAACAAACCCCAGCCCTGCTTTCTAGCTAAATAAGGGGCCCAAGATTCACTGGCCACCTGCTTATCTCTGCAGCTTCCCAGCAATTTGGGAGATAGCAAGAAGTCCTATGGAGCTAGCAGAATAAACCATGAAGCGGCACTTGCTGTGGACCACATGTATGTGTAGCGTGTCCAGTAGCTGGATCCAGACACTCGCAGAATTTCAAATCACATTCTGCAGAGTTTGTGTCAAGAGAAAAAAAATCAACCTCCTGTACCAACATCAAAGTTCTTGAAATGTACAGCGACTAGGGTAGTATTACTCTGTACAAACCAAAACCCACCTCCTTCAGTATGAAGCTGCCTCATCAGTAATGAGCTTCTGGCTTATGGGGAGCTGCAGCTGGGAATAGATTTTCCTATCAGATGTTCCCAAAGGCAGTGCTGTAGTTCAGTCACCTCTGGGACTGTCTCTCTCTGTGCCATGCCAATTCCATGCCTCCAGAGGGCAAAGTCAGATCGTGCTTTGCTTTGCACTTGTAGAGGATGGGGAATGACAGAGGTGTGTTTTGTGGAGTGATGGTGTTCTGAACAGCTGCTTTTGCCCTCCCTGCTGGTGATGAAAATCCTTTCCCAAGTAAGCACTTTCCTTGGCAGAGCCCAAAGGAGACTGAAATGGATACCCAAACAGCATGTGCTGGCTCTTATCCCTTCTCCTTTCCACGTCACACAGCTTAAACTGTGGTGCTGATATTTGGGAGTGAAGTGTTAGTTTATAATGTGGTGCCCTGGAGACTACTCTCAATCTGACATTATCATAAACCTGTTTAAAAACACTTTTAAGTCTCTACTTTGGGAGCAGGAGTATGTCTTATTTTAAGCATTGGTGTCTCTTGAGTATCAGCTCCCATGGGGAGGAAACTATGGAGAACACGAAACTCTAACTCACTCACTTGGGTCTTAGATGGCAGATCTCCTCCATCTGTAAGTCAAGTGGTGCCTCTTGCTGGAGCAGAACAGTTGGTGTTTGTGTTTGTGAAGCATTGTTTTCTCTTTTGATTCCATCATGCTGCAGGAAGGGCAAGAGTAAGTAAGATGGGAAACACCATGCATTGATTTAAACCTATTCATAATGGAGTTCATCACACAATCAAAACTGTATGATATCTACATGGTAGTACCCATACAGAATCTATCACTTGAATTTTATTTTGTTTTCTGCTGGGACAAAGTTTAGGGTTACCATTTTTTCTGTCTAAATTTCTCAGCTCAGATCCTGCCAACACTTAAGTTCTGCAGCCTTCAGCTGGGCAAAGCAGTAATTGATTGCAAGGTCACTGATTGCAAGTTGTACAACTCACTTGAGTTGCACTGCAGAATTGTACCCTGCACAAAGGCACTGTGCCTTGGCCTCTCAAGAATGGAGTTTGCTAGTACTGGTAGCTGCTGGAGAATTACCCCAACCGAAATCCCATCTGCTTGGATCTCCAAAAGCAATTTCCACCCATGGAAAAAAATCCAGTTCACTCCCCACACAGCTGCCCTGTTACAGACCACACCACTGAGCTCCCTCAGGGGTAGACTATGGGGACACCCTGCTTTTCGTTAGTCCTATGACCTGAGCTGCTTCTTCCATTTCAACCAAACAAAGGGCAGTGGACACTAAATGTGTGGACAGCCCCTTCATGTGCATCACATTGATAGTTTTGTTTCTATGTCAGAATTCCTCTATGAGGTGAGGAAAACTTTTGTCTTTGTGTCCCAGGAGCTACAGGGCTGTATTTAATGTGCTTCAAGTTAAGGATCTGGCAAAATCAAAATCCCAGATCATATTAGCTTAATGCAAATGAAGTGACAGTACATACCCATGGCATAGCCACCACCCCAACCTCAGCTGTACCTGTAATGGAATGGCAAGTTTGGGGTATTCTTTGGGTGTGTGTTTGGTTCCAGGGCCTTGCACTTAGAACTGTGGAGAGCATCACAGCCGGACACCTCGTGATACTTTGTGATTAGGAGCTTAGCCCTACCTGCAGCTTGTGGTTAAGATCTGAGAGGGGACCATAAGCCTTTTGGAATAAAACAGGTGATGGCATGACATCATTCATGCACTTTCAGAGCACATTCCACAAACAAGTATCCAGAGTGACTGAGCTTAAGATATTTTGCACCTAACTGGAGTTGGTGGGAAACAAGAATAGGGAGGTGATTGCATGGATTTTGGAAACACTTTATGGATAGATTGTGGTGTGCAGACCAAGGTGAAACCTCTGAGGGAGAACTGATGTGCAGCTGGACATGGAGTATGACCATATGGCAGAAGAGAGGCTAGAAAACAACATCCTGCAAGGATACTGCATGTTTTTACCAGCTGTTCACTTGCATTGTCTAGTGGGGATAGTTCCCATCAGTGGCCTCGTTGTTTAGTATCAGTGCTGTTTTTCCAAATTACTGCAGCTTCTCATCCCTTTGTTGAGTTTTGTATGGGAACTTGGGGCTACAGGAGAGAAAGAATTGCTTGCTGATATAGCCAGGATCATGTGGGAGACTTGAGACTTGAGTTAGCTGTTGTGGCATTCTTCTGTAGAAAAAAAACAAAACAACATGGTGGCTTTAAAATAGGCCATATCTCAGGCCAGAATTTGGGGCAAGAGCCATGAGCAGCCTTAGTTTCCATCCAGCACGTTTCCACCTGGGCAGGGCACTGAGCATGCTTGCCTGACAGCCCAGCAGCTCTCCTGGCTCCTGGGGAGAAACAGGACTTGCAGCAGAAAACCTGCAACAGGGGCAGGTGCAGGTGGGCAGGCAGGCTCTCTCAGAGGAGAGCACCACCTCTGACCATTCCCCTGGGACACTGCCACACTCGGGGATTCAGTGTGAGCAGCATAATGGCAAAAGGATTGTCCATCCAGCATGGGAGATGTGCAGGATTCATGCTCTGGGGTGATGGTAGTGCTGAACTAGAGGGAGTGGCTGACACAGGAAGAGGCAAGGTCCCAACCTAGAGGGACCACCACAAACGGGAGCACAGGACTCTAGAAAGGTTGGGAAGCCCAGCAAAGGAGAGATGTGAGTGGTGCCCTGGGGCAGCAGTGCCCTGTGTGCCAGTCCCAGCCGTGCAGAGACTCTGGGGAGTGACTCTTGCAGCAAGTGAGCTACACTCCATACTGAGGAGCACAGCCTATCAGGCCAAGTGGGGCCTGTGCCAGGACTCCTAAACAGTTAAACATGGAAACTTGCTGTGCACACTGGCAGTGAGAGCCTCGTTCAGCTAAGACAGGGAGCCACAAAATGAAGTGATAGAAAACACCACATGTGATGTGGGCAGCAAGGAGCAGGCACCTTATTGGGCAGCCTGAGCTGGATGGGCCATAACACATTCCTTTG